GTTCCCTTATATTGAAATACTCCCAGAATACTGATACTCTCTTCACAAAGACTGAATTATAATTACTTGTTAAAACTGAATTCTGTAGTGATATAATAGTGTGCGAGCTCTGGAGTAAAATTGTGAACTTCATCCTAATAACATACGTTAGGTTATTAAGAATGAGACTAGGTGGAGGACAAGTTGGTAAGTCGCCGTATAGGTCTTACCAAGACTACGAAAAAAAGTATGGAAAGGAAGATGATGAAGATCATGTCGATCCTGTTGCTGGTAAAAATGCAGAGAATGCTGAGAGGGCCAGGTTTATTAAAAAGTACCCTCACGCTGACATGAATAGGTTTAAGTTTGAAGCAAAGACTACCAGTAGTGGTGATATAGGAGTTATCACTTGGTTTGTTGATTTAGATGGTATATCTTCATATGACATTAGATATGACGGTTTTAAGAAGGATAAGGAGTTTACATATTATCTTACAGGTACTAAGAAAATTATTATTCCTGCTCAGTTTGTTCCCATGACTGATACCAAGGTTACGGCCAGGGAAATGCAAGGTTTTGTTGGTAATTGGCCTCGGATGTGGAGGTTGGGTTCTGGTGTAGTGGCTAGGTTAAACAACTATGATACATTTGATAGGTTCAGTTGGTTTCCTAAAATCGGGTGGAACACTCCTGCGCATTCATTTAATGTTTACGTGGACGGTAAAAGCTTCTTTGTAACTTCCGGGGAGGCCGGTGGAAATATGCTTCCAAAAATTGAAGACAGTATTAAGATCGATGGTGTAAGTACAGAGTTTGACTACAAAAAACCCTACTTTGCAGCCCTTTGTGGTGCATATATCGCAACGTACCTATGTGGAATCACAAGTGGTTATCTTACTCCTAATGATAATACTTACCCTGTGATAACAAGTATAATGAACTTTCACCTTTACTACTGCATCAGGAAGTATGTGTACAAACCTGAAAGATTAATTCCCTATATGGATATGCTGGATTCTATTAAAAAGCATATACCTGTTAAGGGTAAGTGGGTAAAGAAAAGTGATTATTATGATGTTGTATACGATTATGGACTCGACTGGGAAAAAAGTAACTGGATAAAGGGTAGGGGTGACGGTAGCAATCCTGTAAGAAATGTAACCAATTCTTCAGTTATGACTGTTAACGGGTTTCTAAAAGGAATTCATGTACACTATGAGGAAAGAGTATCTGTTGCACTTGTTAGTAAGTCTGATTATTTAAGGTTTGTTAGTACTCAGACTGATCCGTATTTTGGACTTACAAAAACTGGCTTACTTCTATTAGGGGAATCAATTGAAGCTTACGTTTACTCTGTGTTAGGTGCACAGGCAGCTACCAGATCACCTATCACTGGAAGCTATGGAAAGTCATCTACTACCCAGGTTAAGTTCAGCGCACTGGTAAATGATTGTGTTATTCAAGCTGATCCTGTTGTAACTCTAGGTAATATGAGAATTGCTATTAGAGACACAAATGTTGTACTTAACACAGCCGTCACCCCTGGAACTGTTCTGATTCCATCAAGTCTCATAATTCTAAGTAAGCCTATACCTGGGTATAACAATATTCTAAAAAACGCAACAAAGGATATGAAAAGAGGGGTTAACACTAACCTCAATTATGTTGGGGTTAAGAAGGCTAATCCCCCAAAGAAACAGCATCAAGACAATACACCAGTTCACCACCTTGATACTATTGATGGAAATAAAAAGGTTCCGGGAGGTCCTACAAGAGTTAAGCCTCAGGAAGGTTCTACAAGTGCCGAGACTCAAGTTGTTCCTATCATGAAACATGATGGTCAGTCTTCAGGAGTTAACGCTATCGCTGGAGCTGGGATTGGTGCTATAGTTGTATTTATTCTAATGAAAATTATCTTGTAAACATTGTGTATGTTATAAAATGGCTCTCTATAGGGGATACAACAAAGGAGTAAATAAAGTTGATCCATCAAGCGGTAGTGTGTTTGATAAGGACGGATTTACCATGAAGGGCGACATTGAAATGGACGGTAATGAGGTGAAAGGTCTGGGTGCACCTACAGATGATACCTCTGCGACCACAAGGAAGTGGGTGGATGATGAGATCATTAAACAGGCCGCTCTTACAATTCAACCTGCAGGGTTTACAATGACTGGGGATATTAACATGGGAGGTAATAAAATAACTAATCTTGATAATCCTACTAACCCAGGTGACGCTGCCAGTAAGAGCTGGGTTGAAGGCAGCCGTAGACATGTACATGCAAGTCTACCTGGACTTATCCTTACAAATGACCTCAATATGTCAACAAATGAGATAAAGGCTCTAGGTGATCCTACAACTGGAAAGTCTGCTGTTAGTAAGGATTGGGTAGTTGGAATGCTAAATAGCCCTGTATCTGGACTTGATATTGCTGGAGATATCGATATGAAGGACCACGAGATTAAGAATCTTAAGGATCCCTCCGAGGACCAGTCAGCTGTCACAAAGAAGTGGGTGGTCGATAATAACTTTAAAATGAAAGGTGGAATTATGCAGGCAGATGTTTCCATGGGAGGTTGGAGGCTGTTTGATCTTATTGAGCCTAAAATTGATAGTGAGGCTACATCAAAAAAGTGGGTTGAAGATAAAATATCTGCACTTCCTAACCACTCAGGTTTTACAATGACAGGTGATCTTAAGATGGGTGGACATGAAATTAAAAATGTTGGTGATCCTACTACTAACCAATCAGCTGTTACAAAAAGTTGGTTTAGTTCAAATAAGGGAGTATTTTTAAGGTTAGGTGACTCCTTCCTAACGCAAAGTGTAACAGGACCTATTAGTTTCTCCATTGCCCCCAAAAGTTACTCAGACGGTCTAGATTCATCCAGTCTTGTTAGATTTAGCCAGCTAGTTACTTATCTTAATCTAAATGGTCTAAGTGAAATGACTGGTAATCTTAAGATGGGTGGAAACGAAATAGTAAATATTAAGGATCCCACTAGTGATCAGTCCGCCGTTACAAAAGGATGGTTCAAATCAAGTAACATTTTCCTAAAACTTGATAAGTCAACCCCTAGTACTGTAAAAGGTCCTGTTACATTAGAGATCCCTCCTAACTGTAACTCTGATCCTACAAATTCAAATAGTCTAGTAAGATTGCAGTATCTTGAAAGGTACTCAAACAACTTATTAAAACTTAGCGGTTCCCGAGCAATGGTGGGTGATCTTGAAATGGGTGGAAATGAAATAAAAAATGTCGGTTCTCCTAGTGCCGATGAATCTGCAGTTAATAAAAAGTGGGTGGAAGATAAGATTAGCGGTGGTAGAAGAAAGCGTGAGACCTACAGCGGACTTACATTATCTGATGACCTTGATATGGGAAACAATGAAATTATAAAGTTAGGTGCTCCTACAACTGATAATTCTGCTGTGTCTAAAAAATGGGTCACGGATCATGTCAGTGGGAGTTCTGTAAGTAGTAGTGGCTTCACTATGAGCGGTAATATTGACATGGCTGGTAATACTATTACAGGACTAAATAGTGGGTCAACAGGAGGTTCTAGTGCTGTTTCTTACGGTTCTATGAGTTCATGGTGCTCACAGTTTCTTAAGCGTGATGGCGGCACTTTAGCTAGTAATTTAGATGTTAACAGTTATGAGTTGACAAGGGTTGGAAATCCTACTACTGACGGTTCAGCTGTTAATAGGAGATGGGCAATAGATGAGTTCATGAGTAGTAGAGGTGGACTGGTAAAAGGTGATTTGGATATGGGAGATTCAAGTGGAATTCTTGATCTAAAGGATCCTGTAAATGATAAGGATGCTGTTAACAAACAGTGGGTAGAAAAGAATTTCCTAAAACCTTCAACTGGCCTTACTCAAGCAACGGCTGACTTAAGATATGTAAGAATACGGCGACATATACATGCAGAATGGAGTTGGGGTTATCGTGGTGTTTCAGTTGCAGCAACAAGGTACTACGCTTACTGTCACGATCAGATTCCACCTTCATGGAGAACAGATCCTATTAATAATATGGCAGACCTGAACCTTGAATCAATAACTATAAAAACAGACTACCCACGTTTTTCAACTGTTCTAAATATACCCCTAGCTTTGATCCTGTGGGCTACTGTATGGGAAAAACAATCTAACGGAAAATTTACACAGGTTAAGAAGGAAATCACTCTTGCCACGGTTGACTTAAGAAGACTGTCACACACCTGGTTTAATGGAACTTACACAACTACCGGTGGAAGTACAGCTTGCTACATTTTCAAGGGTAATAGTATGTTCTATTTAGGAGCCCAGGCTGAGCTGGTAGATAATACGCTAGCCTGGTGTGTGATAGTTAAACCTGAACACTCAATGCCCACTGGTACTAGCATGGATATGTCCTTTTGCTGGTCACTCCGATATTCGGGGTCAGGTAGTTAACATGTGGTTTATCATAAGATAAGATGTCAAGGTGGAGGTCATGCTTCTCCTGCTTAGGTAAGATTTGTGGTTGTCGTAAGAGTTCTAGTAGAACTGGGAAGTCTGGTGATATAAATTTCTCTGTATCAAATAATATTAACATTGGAGTGAGCACACAAGATAAAAAAGATACTTCAAACTCTGTATTCGAACCTAAAAGTTACGGCCCCTTAAGTATCCTTAAGAGTGAAATAGAAGATGTTAAATAGGATTTTGAATTTAGAAGTTGGAAAAGATCGGTGAAAATCCGAGAGTCCCAGCGACTGGATAATAGAAATAGTAAATCTTCGTGAATAGACCATGGTTAGTAGAAAGTGGTCTAGAAAATAAATCAAGATTTTTGATGAAGACCAAGATGATTGGCTTGCATTAGAAAAAGTGATGTATGAGCCAATGTCAAAAAGTGGTCTAGAACCCTCAATCCCTATACTACTCTTGAATATGTTGCAAATATCAAACATGACAGTACTCAGCCACACCTGTAAATATATTGGGATTACTTTGGTGATTGTACTAAACCATGTACCAAACTTCAATAATTATGACAAATTACATTTAATTACCTGCTGTGTGCCTTTCTTCCATTTTCTTAGAAAACCTTGTGTTGTTGCTTTTTCTGTTTTGTCTGATTCAATAGTCCCATTGGTTATTTTTGACCATAGGTTTCTGGCAGCTTCAAGATTATTTAGCACAGCCTTTAAAATGTTTAACGTGTGTTCAGCAAATCTCACATCAAAGTGTTTTGGGGATGTTAAACAGTTGCCGTCTTCCTGTAAAAGTTATACATACTGGGTTAACTGCTTACAAATAAAATGTAAAACAAGTGGTTTATATGTAGTTACCAACATTGAAGTATGTTATGCTCATAGCATTTAAAGTAAAATGCATTCTTCTCTTTTCTAACTGCATTTAACATTCTGCAAATTGTCTAAAATAATTGTATTGATATATAAACAAATCACTCATACCTGGTGTAGCAACTTGGTTTGCCATGGTGATGCTCTGAAGAATGTTGACACTGCAAGAACATTAGACATCCAAATGGACAGCTCTGAAACCTGAGATTGTACAGACTCAAAAGCTAAATCTGAGCGATGGCAAACACACCATGCAGTCAGGATATCTCTTCCAGTATGTTCTCTTAACAGTTTCCACAAACCACCTTTCTTTCCTGTGTTGGCATTCTCCCCATCAGTTGTTACGCCTACCAGCTTTGTTGTCTCGACCTTAACACCATTTAAACAAGACACAAAGGCATCAAGCAGCCCAGGTGCTCCCCCCAAATCACTGGACAAAATCCCAAGAAAAAGAGTATTGACATTTACCTCTTCTGGAGGCACATACCTTGCTGTTATGAACTTAGAATCAACTTGCTGGCAATCAGAACTGCCGTCAATTTGTACAGAATAACAAAGACAGTCTTTCAATAATTTTGATGTTTTCTCCATTTCATGCTGACCAATTATATCTCTCATTTCTGCATAAGTTACAGGATCTCGGTAGTGATACAACAAGCCAGGCTAGTCGAAGGAGACAAACTCTGCATCCCATCCTTCGTTTTGAAACACACACAATAAATGGTTGCTGCGTTCAACAGCCAAAGACCTTGATGGCCAGTTTCTAGCACTGAGCGTTTCGGTTCTACAATCATTGTACACATCAACTGCCAGGCGTAAAAGAATTTGCAATGATTCAGCTTTGCACTTTTTCATCACTTTTATCCATGGATGACTATCAGACGAGTTATTCCATGATTCATCAAGTTGCTTTAAATGCAAAGAATTGTTGTGTTCAGGCGAAAATAAATGGTCCACTACGTTACTTAATCTGTCCTTCCCATCAACACGAACTCCACATGCGAGAGGTATTCTTCCATTGTTGACAAACTTTCTCACTTCCATCACATACTTGCTGCACAATAATCATTTAATCGCTGGTCTTTGCCGATTGTCTTTGACCTTTTTTGCCAACTCTAAGCAGTCCTCAGATGACACCAGCCAGTTAATGTCTAGTTTTTTGCCTTTATACCAGCAACTTGTTTGAGTTCCATTGAAGTAGGCTGTGGCCTTTGACTATCAACTGTTAGATCATTCCCATTACTCCCAGCTATAATATTACTTTCTTTTTTCTGATAACAAGGGCTGTTGTACCCACTTTTCTGTTGCATTTACATTAAATTTTTTTCAAAAAATGTTAGCAAAGATTTCTGCATGGTAGCTGAAACAGCTTCTTTCAAGGATTTCCTTGTGCGTTTTTCATGGCCACTTTTCTCTTCTTTTCATTTTAGCAAGTGAACGGCGGCTCTGATATTAAATGAAATTTAACTTATAAATAAAATATTAATGGTTATAGTTTATAGCTTCGAACAAAGAAAACTGAATTAAAGTTTATCTGAGTACTTGTTATTTTGACTATCGCATTTTTCTACAGTATTAATGCGGGTTAAAGAATAATTCACCTTAAATTTACATCATATGATCTTGTTATTTTTCACGCCATTCGAATAAACTTTCAAGGTGAAGTACTTTGTGTATGACTGTTATAGAGGATGCATACTAATTAGCCTGCGAGCAGGTTACATACAGCTGGCTATATTTTAAGACAAATTTCAATAAGTAATATGTTACAATAATACAATATAGATAAAAAAGCAAGCATTAATGAATTTCAAGACTGATATGTTACAATAATACAATATAGATAATAACAAAAAGCCACACGATTTAACGAAGCAGCATTTTTAAGTCCTTCACAATGACAAAAAGGCCCATTATACAAGAAAGTCAAGGTTCACTACTGGGGCAAGCACAGGGCCTACTGGGATAAATGCCCCAGTAGTTATATAGATAATAAATGCCCTGTTGAAGTTCTTAAAGCATCATAGCATTGAGCACTGTTGATATTTATTATATCTGGTTTGAACACTGTGTTGCAATGCATTGATTATTTTGTACTCAGAACATGTTTATATACTGCTTTTAGCTGTTGCTAAAGTATATACTGCTTTTAGTTGTTACCAAAAAATCAGCAATATTACAACCAGTTAAGTAATTAAACTTTAAACCTTGTGTGCCAAGATGAAATTTTTGCTGACATGATTTTGTTTCTTTTGAACTTTACAAGCTCACCTTTTGAGCATGCAATGCCGATGTCGCAGCAGATTTGGACCCCCCAGCAGATTTGGACCCCCCGGTCCAAATCTCCTAGTAGATATGGACCCCCCAGTCCAAATACCCTAGCATATATGGACCCCCTTTAGTGGATATGGACCCCCTTTTTTAAACAGTTTTATACACTAAAACCCCCCCAATAACACATTAACATATGTTAAATTCATTAGTTTTGAGATACCCGTAGCTACTTATCAACTGCACATAGTCATTTATTGGGAATAGAAAATGTTTTATTGCCAGTGAGATCCAAATTCAAAAATCTTAAAATTCATGGAATCGCATTGCTCTAATATTCTACTTCTATAGCTTTTGTTAAAAACCATTAGTGGATAGTCGCATGCTTCCATTTAGATGAGTCACCGTCACTTATTGTTTAAAAACACCCATGAAAATCGTGTTGCGTGTCGATCCAAATGCTGTATGCAACTTCTATGATTGTATTCTATTTTTCTATTTTATGTTTTGACATTTGTGGCCTTTATCACAAATATTTAAAGTGACTAAATACTTCAAATTGATCGCTATTATGAATTTGGTTTTATATTATTGTGTTCACATTACATATATTTAACTTTTGAAAGGGGTCCAAATCCGCCAACAGGGGTCCAAATTTACTACTAGATTTGGACCCCCGGGGGTCCATATCCACTAGTAGATTTGAACCCGGGGGTCCAAATCTACTAGTGGATATGGACCGGGGGTCCAAATCTATGGGGGTTCAAATCAACTGGAACACCGGGCAAACTTTTCAAAACATCTTTAAAAACTGCAAGTTTGACTTTTCATCTTTGCCAAACTTTGGTCTTTTCATATAATTTATAAATGTAGGAGGACTTTAGTTTTACACTCACTTGTTTGTAAAGATAAAACAGTTCATGTAAATGTAGTCATTTAAGTCGAATGACAGGAATTTGTTTAAAATACATTTATTGATTTTAATATAAAATATCAATTTTAAAAGAACATTATTAACATGATATTGAATGTAAACATGTATAAAAACACACTAAAAGATAGTGTAGAAACTGGGAAACAACATACATACAGCATGAATTTCAAAAAAATTACAATTAAACTGAAAAACTTGTGTTTTCTTCCTTGACATAAAGTTTGAAAACATATGGCTTGTTTCAAATTTTTTTACAGATCCACAAAGATTCCACATGCCTTTCCAGTTTCCACTTTTAGAATTATCATGTTTCCATTTTACAATTGTGTTTTCACTTCTAGTTCCAAGTTTCAACTTTAGGGAGCCACCTTCAATGTAGATGTGGAGAGAAGACTTTATAGTTATGTTAGCTAGTCATAAGATTACTGTTCTACTTAGCTTTAGGTTCCAAATTGTGGATTACCATACACTAATCCTGATGGTGGAAAGGGTGGTGGAGAGGGGAAAAATAGATTAATTGGTTGTGGAGCTGGATAACTGTGAAATAGCAGTTGTGCAGATGGGTTGACAGTTGTTTGTAGAAATTGTTTAAACATGGAGGTTAGGTCAACAAGTTGGTTTTCAAACTTCCCTTATGGTTGATTGATTTGGTGAATTATTCAGTGAAGAATTCTGTTTCACCACATCACTCCAACTTGATCCATGATTTTATTTAGGGTATGGAACTCGATGTTATCCAGAAACTCTTCGCTTATTGATGCCCAAAGCTCTTCAAATCCCATTTTTTCAAATTGCTTGCAAAAAGAGGTATACCGTGTCTCCTACTCAAATGTTTTCTGTCAAAGTAGAATTTATTCCTTACTTCATAAATTTCCATTGTCCACCAAAACGACATTAGGATTTCTACAAATTTTTTGGGCTACCCATTTGTTGACCTCAAAGACAAGTTTATCCAGGTCGTCCCATCTTGGTGTGATACTTGACATAATCATCTCTTTGTCTGGAAAATTGGTTGTAGCAATGTTCACTAAACGAATTTGGCTTTCGATTATATCTTTGGGTGATAAACTTTCCAAATCATTGACACCAGTGTTGATAATGATACCATGCTTCAAACTAAATCTTGGGGAGGTTAAAATGTCAATAGCTTTGGCTGTATCTCCGCATGGAATGACTTTGTTATTTTCTTTTGGATAAAGCTGATCAGCATTGATATACTTCCTGTTTGAATCACAAAGGATGACAAAGTCATATTCTGGTGATTGATCTTGTACTTGCTCTTGGTTTTCATTATTTTTGTTACTGGGTTTCACGGTAGAATCTATTGCACATGGAACCTTTTCTTCTTGTGGCTTGGTTTCACTTTGAGAGAGATGGTTAACTTGTCGATCATGTGATTCAGTGCAGTTTAACTGTTATGATGTGATTTCCTCATGGAGCTTTGCACTTGAATTCTCTAAGAAAGCTACTCTTTTCACTAACTGAGATTTCTCTTCGACCAACGACCAAAACGACCTTGGAGTCATTTAATTTCTGTTTCGGCTTTGACAAAACAATTATTTGTCTTGTCTTTATTGCTGTTTTGTGAATTTTTGATAACACATAGTTCATGTTTTAAATGGGAAGTGAGCGACACTGATAATTCTTTCTTAGTGTTTGTTAAATTACTCTGAACAGGGTCCACTTGTTGATGAATTCCAGAAATTATCAAACATTGTCAATTTGGGTGTTAGAAGTGGTGAGAGCATTGCTGAAGTGCAGATAAATAGCTCAGTGTTTCAAAACCTTCAACTTAATATTAAAAAAGTTGTCCAATTCTAACAGGGATTATTGAAGTGCTTTTCCCATGTGATAATTCAGATAGAAAGGAAAAGGGGGCAATACATGCACTTGCTCTTCTTGCCAGCCTAAGGAACAAGCAATGTAGAAATGATATAACATTAATGTTTATAATAATGCTTGTATCATGTGGTGCAGGTTGCAGAATGGTGAATATGCTTAACAAGATTGGTCTCACAATTCATTGGGACACATTGATGAACTTTCTTGACAAGCAGCTAGACAAGAAGACTGCACATATAACTTCACTGACACCAAAAGAACTTTCTTTGCTGCTTCTAATGGACAATATCAACATATACCGAGGTAACAAACAACATCACAGATTGTTTAAAGCCTATGGTGAAAACATGTGGAATTTAACTGTAAGAGGTCTACTAATACCCCGTCTAGATAATTTAGAAGATTTGTTTGCGTGCAAGGAGACAGCCACGCAGAGTGAATGTGATGTGACTGAATTCACATTCAAAGTATTTCCATTGACAATAATGGAGAACACTTTGAACTTTGGAACAGCCATAAAGACAACTATTTAACAGAACTGTTAAAGGATGGTTTATAAGGATGGTTAAAGGATGGTTTACAAAGCCCTGAAAGATATGTCTGAATTAGACTGTAACCACATAAAATGTCACAGATGATTTGAAGATTGTGACACATCTCTTTCAGAAATTAAGTCAGACACTGTTATTTTGCCTGTCTCTCTCTGGAAAATAACAGCACCCTTATTGGAACAGGTGTAATTTGGGATCAGTTTGGAGAAGAATTTTCCATTCCGACAGTCTCACATGTGGAAAATCTTTCTTTTGACAGTAATTCCAAATCTTTCTCTTTGAAGAAGGCAAGAGATCATACTGAATGATCATACTGAATTTATGCTTACGATGAGTCACCACAAGAAACAAATGAGGCAGTATGATTCTCAACTGTCCAGTGCTGAGAACCATAGGCCTATGGTTTCCAATGAAAGTGAAGATGACTCAAGAGATGAAGATGATAGTGATGGCAAAAGTGATGAAGATGAGCCAGACAGTGGCAATGTAGGATCCATATGATCCAATTTTTTCACGATCCACCAATTTACCCAGAACACACAGTGATAGTGTGGTGACTAATAATTTTCATAGAGCCACTCCTGGATTTATTACTGGAGTTGTTGGTGATGTTGGCACATGTAAGACCAATCGCGGTGTTATGTCTCGATCAACTGCCTACAACTGGGTGGGCATCATCCCAGGAGATCTACATACTAAAGAGGTATTTTACATCCCAGGAGATCTACATACTAAAGGGTATGGTATGGTACAAGGTCGCAAATACATGAACGCGTCACAAGAAATAAGGATACTCTGAATGTGCCTTTGTATCAAACAGCGACAGGTCAACGCTCATTTTTGTTCAGAGCAGTAAAGTTGTGGAATGACTTGCCTAACAATGTTAAATCCGCGAATAATTTAAAGAGTGTGAAAAGTTTTAAAATAGCATTAAAAACATATCTGTTTAAACAATTTTTAAACGACTCTTAGTTTTTAACTAGTTATCTATTAACATTAATATTGACTTCGTCTAGACATTTGTAATTAATATCTGAAAAGCCCTTTTGGGAGATGTTAAAGTTTTAAATTAAATTAAAAAAATTAAAGAGCAAGGCCCTGGTGGATTTCATTACCTGATTGCCAAGGTCCTGAAAAGTCCATTTTCCAATGTTTTGAAATAAACAGATGTGAAAATGTACTGAAACTAAAACAGCAGGTTAAATTTTGACCCAGGTTTGCATCAACCAAACTTTGAACAACCGGTCCCATAGGGTTAAATTTAAATAAAAAATTAAAAACAAGATTATTTCCTTATTATCTATTAATTTCTCAGTATTGCTTTTGTTTAATAATATAGTCGGCTTTTCAGTAGTACTGGCCATTTCTTCTTTAATTATCCCTTTAACAATGAGATGGTAAATTAACCTTTGCAGTTGCTTCCTCCCAGTTTTTGGCTGATAGTAAGGTTTTGCAGATCTAAATCCATGAGCTACATCTAGTGACAAAGCTTTTAGTTTAGATGGCCCAAGCAAAAACTGTGAAAGAAAAAGAACAGTCACCTTCTTCTGCCCCTCTAGAATAGTTAGGAGACCTTTGATGATTAGCTGAGAAACTATAAACGTGTCAGAAATTTTCCGGACTGTCAACTAAAAGCGGACTCTCAAATTTCGGTGTTTTATCTGCAGAACGCCACCTGATGCATACGCAATTTCCAAGTAAAGTATGCTTGAGCTAATTTATGTGTGAAAACGCGGGAAGGCTTAAAAAATGTACGCAAAACACACATAAAAATATCTGTATCGCTAATTAAGATCAAGGGATCAGGAAATTGGTTGACATGTTCCCTGAGGGAATGTTAACCAGATGTTTTTTCCTGTCATCAAATTAATCCTTTATTATATTGCAATTATATGTGGTCTGTTGTATAATAAGACAATGGAGTAGCTAGATTTACAGTAGGTAATATAGCCTACATATTTACATATATATATAATACCTATAAATTCAACGTCCATCAGTAAAGATACATGTATTTCGTTCATTTAAACTCGGCAATGCCAATGGTATATATAGTCGCACATTTTGATATTTTATGATGAACGCACAAAATATGAACGCAACATAAGATCAAAATGTAGAAAATAGTAAAGTCGGAATAAACAGTATATGCCCGTGGTCTTATTCGAGGGAAAGAAAAGCATTCTGAGATCGAATTGAAGTATATGTGGACAGACGATTTTCGTGCGTATTTTAATGGGGAATGCATGGTCCAGCATTGTTGACACTATCACTATAAACAAACACAGGAAAACAATATAAGTATTCCTTTACCTTGTATGTATCTTGAGCAATACCATCCCAACTTCCAAGCCAAGTTTAAATCATCCATTGAAGTCCAGTTCGTTAAAACAACGCTTACCACGCTACCTTCATAATCAATGCAGTAGCTTATAATTTCGCGCGGTCACGCGCGCTTTGCTCAAATCACGAGTCACAGTGTACGGTTACAATTATTATGCTGTTCATAGTTCAATGTCGGAATAACTGATAATTGAATCAGTTATCAGTATACTCGTGTCATATACACAAAAAGTGCGAACGACCTGTGAAAATATGCATTCAACGCACAAGTAAGGGAAACAATCCGCATAAAAATTTTAAGGGCTTTTATACGAGACAACTTACTAGACAACTTTGCTAAGCATTCTGTGATCAATGTGAATAATGTGAATAATTATTTACGTACCTATGATCCAGCCTATACATCACGTCATTACGACGAAAACAATTTCTATTTTATTACCAAAAATAAGCAGACTTCTTCAGGAATTCGTTTTTTGTAAGGTCAGCAAATCTGTGGAACAGTCTCTCATCGCTACTTAAGAGTTGTACATCAATATCTGTATTCAGTTCCAGACTACGTGAAATGTATAAAGAACGACTGCTATTTTACAGCCCTCCTGGCTGTTCTTAACTTTATAATATCCTATGGTTTCCTATTCATGTAATGTGTTTGGTCGATGTATAGACATTTATTATAGGAGTTAGGTGTCAATTGGGACGCAAGTCCTGTTCCTCTCTCCAGTCACACCTATGGCTATGTTGTATTTTTGCATGTTCTATACTAGTGTCAGTAATCAATCTTGTTTGTATGGAAATGAATTGTGACAAATCAAATTAAATTAAGTGACGGTATCATGATGGAAGTAAGGATTTTTAAAGGGAGTTCAATTTGTTGACAGAAACATTTAGCTAAAAATGAACACATATATATTAATAAATAATTGACATGAATGATCATGATGATAGCCGATATATAAAGTCTAGCTACGTTTGGAAGCAATATTTACAATTATGAAATTACATTATGCCTATATAATATAATTTTGTTTGATTTTCAGTCTTCTTAGGCATACATGGTGGTCACACTTGTCTATAGACACTGTCTTGTGCTCATTTGTTATGTCTCATTTATTATGTACATGCATGGTGCGTGTGTACGCAAAATGTGAGATAGCATTTGATACGTATACATTCGACGCACAAGTGAAAGAAAACAATGTACGCATAAATATTTCAAGAACGTTTTCCGACACAAGCTAGACAGAACTGGAACTTGTGTATGTAGCATCTGCATGTGATCGGTCCGCTCGTCTATATTTGTTACATTATTAAAAAGAACTGACAATTTGAAGTCTGTACAATCAAAAATGTTCTATGAACCTTTGTACGTATGGCACTTGCACCTTTTTGCATATCGATATGTAAGCAGGACCATTGGTTGAATTACAATGAAAAAGCCGAGTTTAATTCCAAAACGTTGTTTTTCAGTGTAAAAAACCCCCGATTATCAATAAAAAAACCTTGCTGCGCACAGATGGTCTTTACACTGGACCCATATATTACTGACTAACATCATGAGTCTTAATCGGAGAAAATTCGTGCATAAACCTTCTTGCATATGGCTAACCTTGTTATAAACTATATAATAATTATGTATCTAGACTGTTATATATGCCATTTTGAACTCTTGCAAGTAGCACGACTGCTGACTGTGCTGAGCCTGAGTTGTCAAAGTGACTAATGAAAAAATACATTTTGACTCACTTTTTTTACTTTTGATATGTAGTTTATATTTATAGTTAGTTAAATCGTTTATAAAGGAATGGGTGGTCGTGAATTAAAATTAAAGTGAGTCACGTAGGCTGCATTTTGAAATTGATAGCCTATAACAGTATAACGATTGATGTTAACTATTAGTCTTGTGCTCATTTATTATGTCTCATTTATTATCGGCATATGCATGTTGCGTGTACACAAAATATGAGATAGTATTTGATAAGCAAAAGAAAACAATACGTGTGCATAAATGTTTCAAGTAGGCTTTTACACCGGACAATTATTAGCCTATATGCATGCATGCATAGGCTAATAATTATATGACTAATCTCGCCGCGTTGATCCTTACTGCATGATCCTTATGTGGCTGATCTCGTGTTGATGCGTTTGTGCATGCCCATCAGGCGATATATACTGGCGCGAAGCGTTCATAAGACTTATCAATTACAGTGCACGCATACTGTGCGCGAAATGTACCAATACGATATATATGTTTCATATATCTAGACAATATAATGTATAATAAAACTGTAGTAATACTTGAAAAGCAAATATGACAGATATTTAATTCAAACATTTACAAGTTCTGTATTATATACAACATATATCGTCAATATGTGATAAAAAATAATTGAATATATTATATAGGGTGCAGATGCCCCGCGTATTTCAGTTGCAAAATGCCTCATGCAAGCGTGTTAACTCAAGGATGGTACGTTTTAACACTATCAATAATGACTGAGAGGCATTTCCGTTGATTTTCTTATTGCTATGGATGCTTTTGGCACACAAGAATTAGCGCAACTTTTGAGGTTTGAAACAGGCAGTATGTGCACGACACCTCTCACAATAGGCAAATTAAATCCTATTTCTCAAACCAA